TCTTGACTCAATTATTACGATAGACTCTTAATACACAGTTACTAAAATGTTTTGTATTTTGTTTATACATAGTTTGTATTTTTTCAGTTGTTCCACAATTAAACTATTATTAAAGTATATATTTTTTTAAATATTATTATTAATTTTAAATTACTTTTATTTTTTATTTTAAATTAATTTTAAGTAATTTGATTTATAATGAAATTTAGATAATTTTTGCGGGGTCACCGCCCTCTAATAAAAATAAAAAGGTGGGAGGGAAAAAGGTAAATTCCTAAAAATCAGATGGTGGTGAGGGGCGGAGGCGGAGAGGGAAGCCAGTGACGTGCCTCCTTTATATATAAAAGTTTATAATCCTTAGTTTTATATATTTTATAAAAGTTTTATATGTTTTATATATTCCTTTATATATAAAAGTTTATAATCCGCCAAACCTTTGAAGTTTGATATGTTTTTATACACAAATTGGACTGGCTAGAATCTCTAAAATCATCAAAATTTTTAGGCCTAAATTATTTTTATATTGGTGGTTAATCTTTCCAGGTAAACTTAATTTTCAAAAATTGATAAAATATGAATCATCCTACCCAGTGGGCACGGGACGTAAAAAAGACGTCCTTAGAACGTTCAAATCGCGTCCGTCCGTCCCATTAAAAACCTAAACGTCTTTTGAACGTCTTTTTCGCGTCTAATAATTTTTTCGTCCAAAAAATATCCAGAATGCTTTATTAAATCAAAAAAAAATCAGGTAAATAACGCAAGCGCTAAAACTTCCTAAAATTTTTAAGTAACGCATTTTTTTTCGAATATAAAAGAAGTCTTTTTACAACGACAAATAGACACGTTCTAGCTAATTTTTATTTTTGTTATCAATTACTTGAAAATTGTCGTAATATTAGTAGTAGTAGTAGTAGTAGAGAAATTGCTGCAACAGGTTTCCCTGTATAACCTACAGGTTTTGGCAGCCTTATCTACTTCATACATTAATTTTATTCATATCAAAATATATAAAAATTTACAATAAGATATATAGTATAAAGTATAAGTTTGTACTTTATTGTTTTTCCTTTATTGTTTTTACTTATGCGGATTATTTGAAATTTCTGCATCAAGCTTAGCCTTGAAACTGTTAACTAATGAAGCGCATACAACTTCTGACGGCAATGCATTCCAATGATTCACTATTCGATTAGTAAAAAACTGGTGCCTTTGCTTACAATTTTTAACATATTCTCTAGTCATTTTTAGATGATGTCCTCTAGTTTTTATTTTATTTGACTGCCCAACACGAAGGACATGGGGTTCACTCCATGAGACAATGTCTATATTGTTAATAATTTTATAGGCCTGTATCAGATCTCCCCTAATGCGACGGGTTTCTAAGGACGTTAAGTTCAGTATATTCAGACGATCTTTGTATGACATATGACGGTACGAAGGTACTAAACGGGTAGCTCTTCTTTGTACTTTCTCGATTTTGTCAATATCTATTCTTGATGATGGATTGCTGGCTGCATCCGCAAATTCCAGATGAGGTCGTACAAAAGTTGTATATAGAATTTTAAGTAGTTGCGGAGTCATGTGACTGAAAGTACGATACAACATGCCTAATACACGGTTAGCTTTATTGGTGGCAAAAGTTGAATTGTCATGCCATTTTAAGTCTGGTGTAATCATGATGCCTAAATCACGTTCGACTAAAGTTGATGCAAGTTCGACACTGTTATTGTTATTAGCTGGCATTAAGTAGACATAAAAGTTGTTTTTTTACCTATGTGCATGATTTTACATTTATCGAGATTAAGTTTCATTTTCCAGGTATTACACCAATCGGCTATGTTGTAGATATCAGTTTGAAGCATTTGTGAAGCTAATGGGTGGTCTAAACGGGCCAGCAGTTTAGTGTCATCAGCATGCATTTTACATGGATGGTTAACAATATCGGATATATCGTTCACAAAAATGATAAAAAGTATTGGACCTAATACGGATCCTTGAGGGACGCCACTAAATACCTCAAGCCACGAGGAAACATAATCGCCCATCACGATTCGTTGAAAACGCTGGTGTAAAAACGATTTTATCCAATTCAGGAGATTTCCAGTAAAACCATATGCCTCAAGTTTGTAAATTAGTCTCTTTTGGGGAACCATATCGAATGCTTTACTGAAATCTATAAAAGCTACGTCCATAGATATCATGTCAGATAATGCTTTTGACATCATGTCAATCGACTCCAACAAATTAGTCACACAAGCTTTTTTATTGACAAAACCATGTTGATTTTTTGAAATAAGGCTATGTTCGACTAAATGATTGACCATAGTGTCACGTAATATTTTCTCCATCACTTTACATACAACTGATGTTAAGGATATAGGCCGGTAATTGCCTGGGTCGAGTCTACTTCCATTTTTAAACAATGGTGTTACATTAGCTTTTTTCCATACTTTAGGACAACACCCACTATCTAGCGACTTCTGAAAAATTGCGCTTAAAGGTATTGAGAAGCTGTCAGAACAGTTCTTCAGTACATATGCGCTTACACCATCCAAACCAACGGTTTTGTCAACTGATAAATTGCTCAGCTTGTTTTTAACCAGATCTAGCGTTATTTGCGAGTATTTGCAGATGGCTTCAGTTCGTTTTATAAAATATGGCAGTTCATCGTCTTCATTTTTGTTGAAAACACTTTGAAAGTGATTGTTCAGCCGATTTGCAATTTCTATTGGATTTGTGATAGTGTCGCCATTGATTCCTTTTAAGGCTGTTATTGTAGTTCTAACATTTTGTTTACTATTAACATACTTGAACAGGATCTTTGGGTTGTGCTTCGATTTTATCGCTAAATCAAGTTCAAACTCACAACGAGCTTTATATATGAGCTTCTTCAATTGAATATTACACGCTTTGTATTCGTTGACTAGTTTAAGATTTTTATATCCATTCGTTCTACATCGAAAGCATATTGATGCAGGTAATGAAATTTTTACAGGTAATGGAAGAAACGGTTTGAAACTGAATATATGCTATACTATGTATATATATACTTGATATACTATTAGTATAGTATTGCTATATCAAGAACCAAGTTCTAACAATTTCAAAGATTTAGACATCTCAAGTAGAATCGAATTTTTCAATAGGAAAACCTGTTAATGATACATAGAACAATTATCCTGGTAATT